ATGTCTTGCAAGTTGGCCAACCCGAGCCCCGTGACGACTTGAATCCCCTGGCCATGGCCGAAATCGCAGAACCCAATGAGCCCACCGTCTTCGTGCAGGCAGGGCATAGAGTCGCATAGAGGTTGCAGCGCCACCCCTCTCATTGTTCGTCTCACTGTCTCACTTCTTTGTCATTCTTTGTTGTTGCTGATGCACGTGCCTTGTTCTTGTGCTTTTTTTCTTGGGCAGGTGGTGAAGAAAAACCCTGCCGGGTTGCGTCGAGTCAAGGCTGGAGATGCCTATGCCAAGCAGATGGGCCACTTAGATGTTGCTGTGGCCGTGCGTGTTTCCCAGCCTGGTGGCACACTCCAGAGCGCTCTTGTGGATCTGCTGCCTGAAAGAGGTCCAGATGGCAGGTTGGGCCTCAGGTTCTTTGATGCGCCGAAGGTAACCAGCATAGCAGAAGCCACGCAGTGTGTCAGTTTGTGGACTCAAGGCTCTACAGGTGCTCAGTTCTCCCCCAAATTCCTGCCCGGGTTTCCTGAATATGTCCGTGGCCCTGCCGGAGAGTTGGTGTCCCACATGGCTCGAATGGGTGCAATTTCTGGAAGCATGAATGAGCATGCCATGCACATCAGTCATGACGAGGAGGGTGCCGCAAGCAACCTTGAATCTTTGGAGTGCCTCCAGAATGCTGGCTTGGCCACTGCCACGTTCTGTGACTCTAATCAATCCGCGTGGTTGCTGAGCGCAGAAGCTTTGCAACATTGCCACTTGAGTATGCGCTTGTCCAGCCCAGTTTCAGTGTTTGCTGTCCCAGACGGGCAGCCTGCCCTGTCGTGGACAAGGATGGAGCTGCTTTCGTACCTGGACAGGCAACATTGGCGCTGCAACTTCTTGTCGGATGACCCCGATGCCCGAGGCGCCGTGGTGCCGTTGGACTTGACTTTCCGTACTTCGGACGACAAGAACGTGTACGTGCTCAAGGGAAAGCTCTTGCATCGGTACTTGTGTTGCCTGGCGTATGCAGATGCTGAGTTGCCGCTGCCTGGGCAGCCGGAGGAAATCCGGCACTTTGAGAACGATACCTACTACGGAAAGATACTCGGCCTGGATGCTTGCGCTGGCACTAAGCCACTTCCTCTGACAGACGGTGCCGCTGTGCCACGAGCAGCTTTTGCAGAGCCACAACATTGTGTCAATGACTTTGATGAACTTCCTGAGCTGGATGCAGGGCGCCAGGATTCTGTACAGGAGGAGGCTGAGGCTGAGGCGATTGAGGAGGCCTTGGATCTCTTGGAGGACGAATCTTTTCTTCAACGTGGCACGCGTCCTCTCTTTCCTTCTATGTCATTCTATCCCTCTGTCGCTTTTTTTGCTGCACTCACATGTGTGCTGAAACTATTAGTTGTTAGTTGGACCTGAGCCACCTAAGGATGCTGATTCTGGTTCCCCGGTGGGTGGCATAGATTGGTCCAACGTGGACCTGTCTGATCTGAATCTGCCGGCTCCTGATGAAGCAGTCTCGCCTTGTAGCAGCGGAAGTTCCAGCAGCAGTTCCAGTTCCAGTACCAGCAGTAGCAGTAGCACTTCTGGAAACTCGGATTCAGACAGTGGAGGCAAACCCGCGGCAGTGCCTCACGATGACGCGCCAGTTCCTGACAGAAAGAGGGAGGCAGACTCATCGCATCCTGATGCGCCGGCTACTGTCAGACGGCGCCGCGACGAGACCTTCGAATGGAGGGGGTTCCGCTTCACTTTCAGGCCTGGCTCTGGCAGGAAGAAGCCCTCTTATATGGTGCTTTGTCGATTCCATTCGCGGGCCTATAACGAAACCAAGTGCACACGGACTTGCGGTTGGTCTCAGCCGGAGGATCGTGACACTGCCATCCGAAAGCTGAAGACATGGTGCGTTCGAGCTCCTGATTTCGCTTTCGCTGGCAGCAACCCTGATAGGGCCCCACATCAGTCGCATGACAAAAGAGGCCTCGTTATCATGACTGATGCAGAATTGGACGCAGCACCACTGCCGGCGCTGCCGGCTCCAACCGACTGAGGTGACTGAGGTGACAGAGGACGCATGCAATGCATAGTGCACCGTGTTTGCTCCGTGGCCTGCAGCATTGCGACCTGCAGATCCAAGATGGCTTTTTTGAGAAATGACCTGGTGCATGTCTGCCGTTGTGTGAAGTGTGTTTCACTTGCTCCTTTGTCATGTGTAGGGATGGGGGGGATGTAGGGGGCCTGGGCTGCAGATTCGCCAAATAATGTATGATTCTGCTCTCTGCGTGTCAGGCATGCATCTATATAGAGATAGAGACACAGAATCTCGCGGGTCGAACCCCGCGCGGGTTATGGAGCCACGATTGCGTTACCAGCACTCACCCCGGGCGGGTTATTTTGGCATCATAGGGTCTAACCCCCAGGCAAACTCCTCAAGTTCAAATGAAAACAGCCGGGGCGTTGGGGGGGGGGGGGGGACACCCCCGCTGCTGGCGAGAGAGGTGTCATGTATGTGTTGCAACTCAACGAAACATGGGGGCAGGCGGGACCGTCGCAGCTGTGTGAGTGTTGAGAGTGTGGGCAGCGTGGTTTAGGGTTTATGGCTTGTATGGTTTAGGGTTTAGGGTTTAGGGACTTTTGAAAGTCCTGGGTTAAAAAAGGGACTTTTGAAACACCAACCCGAGGGAAAATCACAACCAAAACCAACAAAAAAAGCAAGAACACCCGAAAAAACGTGGGAATCACTGACAAAAACAAGCAAAACAAATAAGAACATCAGTTTTGAAAATCGTAATTCTAAAGGAGGTACTTTTTAGGGTTTAGGGTTTAGGGTTTAGGGTTTAGGGTGTCAAAAAAAGCAAGAACACCCGAAGAAACATGGGAAAACACTGACAAAAACAAGCAAACAAATAAACACATCAGTTTTGAAAATCGTAATTCTAAAGGAGGTACTTTTTATGGTTTAGGGTTTAGGGTTTAGGGTTTAGGGTGTCAAAAAAAGCAAGAACACCCGAAAAAACATGGGAATCACTGACAAAAACAAGCAAAACAAAGAAACACATCAGTTATGAAAATCGTAATTCTAAAGGAGGTGCTTTTTAGGGTTTAGGGTTTGGGGTTTAGGGCTTAGGGTGTCAAAAAAAGCAAGAACACCCGAAGAAACATGGGAAAACACTGACAAAAACAAGCAAAACAAATAAAAACATCAGTTTTGAAAATCGTAATTCTAAAGGAGGTACTTTTTATGGTTTAGGGTTTAGGGTTTAGGGTTTAGGGTGTAGGTGTTAGTGTTTTAAGGTTTTAGAGTTTAGGTCTTTTGATGCCTGCCCGGTCAACGTGAAGTGTGCCTTCGGCCTTCATTCCATCCTAACCAACAGTAAGGCTCCGTGTATGATCCTACTGCCAGCCAGGCCGGCATTATGGTGCTTTAGGATCTAGGGCTTAGGGTTTAGGCTTTGGGCTTTAAGCTGTAGGCTATATAGGGCTTCGGATTGACGCCAGTAACTTCAACATTCCTCGTGTTTCGAGGCTTTGTTCGAAACTGCATAGTAGCCTGCAAATGGGGGGCCGGGAACCGTGCAGGAGCCACAGCCTGGCATGGGAACAGCACAGCTTTGAGCCCCTTTGGCCCTTCAGGCGTTTTCCAGGAGACGGCCCTTTGGGGATTGTTTCTGTTCTTTTTTATTACCTTGGGGATTGCTTCTCGCGTTTTTCCTCGTTTGGGATTGTTTTTCTGCGAATTTGCCTTTGGGCTGGAATGCGCATGAAGCACACGCCTGCGCACTTCCGCGCCCCCCCCGCGCATCCCCCCCGCACACTCCCGCGCACTCCCGCGCACTTCCGCGCACCTCCGCGCGCCCCCCCGCGCACTCCCGCGCACTCCCGCGCACTTCCGCGCACTTCCGCGCAACCCCCCCGCGCACTCCCGCGCACTTCCGCGCGCTTCCGCGCGCTTCCGCGCACTGCCGCGCGCTCCCCCGCGCACTCCCGCGCACTCCCGCGCACTTCCGCGCACTTCCGCGCGCCCCCGCACACTCCCGCACACTCCCGCGCACTTCCGCGCACTTCCGCGCGCCTCCGCGCGCCTCCCGAGCCGCCGGCCTCCGAGACATGTGGTGGACAGTGTTTGGTGGCACGGTGTCCGTGCCGTTTCGACTTGCATTCTGGGTTCCGTGGCACACTTTCTCCAAGTTCTGGGCTCCGTGGCTCACTTTTCTTCAAAACTTAACTTTCTGAGCATGTCGGTGTGTTTTCAAGTGCAGGCGCGTTTTGTGGGATATTTGTGTTGGCAGTGTTGGGAGAACCACACCGCTGGGGCCGAAGATGTTGTGTTGGGCCCGGGTGAAGCTTGGACAGTTCCATCAAGTCACTCATATCGATGTGCCTGTGTTGCTTTGAAGCCTTGAAGCATGACCGCGCGTGTTCTGTGCCTTTCTAAGGCGCTGCAGGCCTCAAGTCGCTTCTCATCAGTTCTGTTGCAGTCTTGCATGTTCGATTCATCAAGTAGTCTTGACTACTTGTAGGGACATTAACAGCGCTGACCAGATTCAGCTTCAGGCGCATGCAGTGCTATACGCTTTTGCGATTCATGAGGCAGTGTTGATTACTTCTAGGATTCTAGGGTCGACTTGTCGCTTATGCCACAGCGCTGACCGGCTTCTTTTGCACGCAGCAAAGAAGCCTCCCGTGAACATGAAGAGACCCGCTGCGCACACAGCAGGGTCAAAGTTTAGTGCCTTTGAGGCTTTGGGCCCGGACATCAAACGGCAAGCGAGTGGGCATCAGTTCCTGGTCAGGAACTCTAGCCGTAGCTTTGATGATGACTTTGCTTTTGGTGCTGCTGCGGCTGCAGCTCCCTCACAGCCCTCACACCTTGCTCAGGCTGGCCAGGGTTCGTGTCTTGCGTGTGGTGTGCGCTTGTCTTGCAAGTTGCCACCTGTTATTGAATCGAGCACGGCATGTCGATGTGCTGTAGGCATTGTTTTTGCTTACAGCCTTGCCAGACGAGCGTGCTCAGCATGTTTGCTGCTCCTGATGATGATGGGCCCGAGGGCTCCCTTGCTGGTGATGTACCTGTGATCTCTCCGCCTAAGTCTGAGGCTGCGCATGCTGCGATCTCTCCGCAGAAGTCTCAGGGCAGTCTCTGCGGCGAATCTCCGGACAAGGCCCTGGCCTCACCATCGCCGGCTGCAGGCGTGGATGCCTCCAGTGTGGAGGCGCCGCCGCTGCCGCCAACGCCCACGCAGCTTCGGCCTTCCACCGTGCCTGCGGTGGATCCTTGCACCTTGTGTGCAAAGCGCCCTCGTGCGCAGAAGCAGAAGTTTTGTTGCACATGTCGTGCTGACATATCCGCGGCCAAACGTGACGCAGAGAGGGAAAACCAACTTGAGTGGTTCAATGACTTGGCAAAGAAAAATGCCGAAGAGTTCCAGGACTTCATGTTTGAGTACGTTAAGAAGCAGAGTTCCACGAGGCGCAAGTACTCCATGCGCCTGAAGTTTGACTTCTTGCAGTATCAGGAGGCTCGCCGCACACAAAGCAAGTTCAAGCTCGGCTACAAGGCAAGCGCATCATGTGTGTTGTCCTAGCGTCTTGCTGTCAGACTCACTCTTTGGCTTGATCTCAACTTCAGCGTGTTCAGAATCCAGCAAGCATGCAGACACAGAGTGTCCCAGGAAACCTTTCTTCCACCCCTTAGCAGCATTCGGCCTCCGCTTCTTTCTTTGTTTCTCATTTCTTCTTCTTATCCTTGCGTACTTTCTGGAGCCAAACCGCTCTGCTGCCCAGCCCCACCCCCTGTCACAGGCGGTTTTCATGCACAAGAAGCGCGCCGTGAACCACTGGATGGAGCGTTTGGGGTTGGAGAGATCCGAGGCTCTCACCAAGTGGGCTGAGGAATCCGAGGCGGCAAAGTACAAGCTCATGAATGGCCCCCGCGACAGCCCGTTGCAAATCCCTGTGAAGCTCGACGACTTTTTGGTGGTTGAGGACAGTGTGATAGACGAGAAGAGCATGGTGAAAGACTACAAGAAGGTCAAGCACTCCGCGGAAGCCGAGCAGCTCATGGAGGAGGCGTTGGAAGGCCGGGCATTCACGGACAATGACATTGAGAGGTACGGCATCGACGCAGCGAACAGCGACCTCGTGAATTCGGTCTTTGGACGCAAGATTGCTTTGAGACCACCCACCGCCGCCGAAGGTTCAGCTTCAGCTGCGGAAGACACTGCTGAGCAGGAGCCCGGGCCCGCGAAGAAAGCCAAGACCTTTGATGCTGGCACCGAACGCATGGCTATCACGAACAAGCTGATCGCCGCGGTGGACAAGGAGCTCGAGGCACTGAAAACGTGTCGGTCAGACGTGGCGACCTTCCTGCAGGACATGGACGTGGAAAATATGTGCAACAGCCCGGACACGCCTGCGAGTGAACGTGATGCCATTCGCCTCTTAGACGCTCGCTTCAAGCTGTCGGAGAAGCTCGTTGGCAGCCACTTCGCCTGACATGGTCCCTATAGCCGAAACCCCTGAACCGTAACCGCGAACCCTAAACCCCAAAACAGTCCTGAGGCTACGAGCCGGGCAAGGCCCTTGCGAGTGACGAGGTGGTGGCCAAAGATACTGCAGCCTACGCAGCCGCGTTCCAGACAGAGGTGGCCGAGATGCCCGACATGTTTGCCCAAGCCTATCCTGTTTCCCATATCGTGCGGCAAGTTCAAATCGAGGTCAAGAACGTCAACTCCCAAGCAGAACGCAAAGCGCTGGAGCAGGACTTCAAGCCTGTGATCAACCTGCTAGGTGTCATGCGATCGTCTTTGAAGAGTGCGCACGACAAGATCAAAAAGTTTGCCAAAGACAAGACATCCAAGCAGGAAAGGGAGAAGCGCGCCGCCGACGCCGCGCAAATGAAAGCCATCAGCACCGAGAAGAGGAAACGGGAGGCGGAAGAACGAAAGCTTACAAAGGCTGCAGAGAAGCAAGGTCGCGTGGGGTCTCTCTGGGACATCGACTACGTGAAGCTGGGTGTGCAGGTGATGTCGCACGAGATCCTGAAGGAGCCCGGTGACTTCCAGAAATTGAATTTCTCCCGGCCGTGGATCGCGCGATACTCGCTCTCGACGCTGCCCAACACGAAGAAGGTCGTGGAAGACGCCAAGATTCAATCTTGCCTAGCATCTTTCTACAATGGCTTCCCTGGATCCGCGGCTTCTTTGCAGGGAACGAGACGGTTCACGCAGGCGGTGAAAGAGACCAATGATCTACGAGACATGGTCCTTAAGGAGTTCGGCATCGCGGAATCACGTCCAGGCTCGGCTCTGCCTGCCCTGCTTTTTCTTTTGTTTAGGAAAAGACTGCCTGCTGCCTATGCATTCATTCGCTGGCAGGAGATGGGTATGATGCGCTGCAGTCCATGACAGACACCGTCGCTGTGTTCGGCTACGGTGAGGAGATGACTGCCTGCGGGCTCGATGTGCTTCAGCTTCCCTCCCTGCGTGTGCAGGTCCAGGGTCATCGTTGGGTGTTCATGATGCCCTTGGAGGCTGTGGTGTCTTATGTGAAGACGACAAAGAAGGGCGAGCGAGTCGCCTACAAAGATGTGCAGGACTTTCTGAACGCGCTACAGCCCAGCACTGTCGCAGCGTACCTGACCATGTTCCCGGATGGACTTTGCCACGCGTTGATCCACAAGGATACCATTGCGTATGTGCCGCCAGCGTGGGTGCTCGCGGAGAAGGCCAGAGAGTTTAGGGTTTAGGGTTTGGGGACTTTTGAGACACCAGCCCGAGGGAAAATCACAACCAAAACCAACAAAAAAGCAAGAACACCCGAAAAAACGTGGGAATCACTGACAAAAACAAGCAAAACAAATAAAAACATCAGTTTTGAAAATCGTAATTCTAAAGGAGGTACTTTTTGGGGTTTAGGGTTTAGGGTTTAGGGCTTAGGGTGTCAAAAAAAGCAAGAACACCCGAAAAAACATGGGAAAGCACTGACAAAAACAAGCAAAACAAATAAAAACATCAGTTTTGAAAATCGTAATTCTAAAGGAGGTACTTTTTAGGGTTTAGGGTTTAAGGTGTAGGTGTTAGGGCTTTAAGGTTTCAGGGTTTAGGTCTTTTTGATGCCTGCCAGGTCGTCAACATGAAGTGTGCCTTCGGCCTTCGCGTGCTGTGGTCCCCTGCCATGCAACTGGATCGAAATTTGGAAGCTGCCGCCGACTGGGTTGGAGATGCTGCTGAGGGTGCCGCGTCTTCCAAAGGCCTCGCTGCGCTCTATGCGCAGTGTCAAGCCCGTCAGGTTGAACAAGACAAGGAGGCTGCAGAGCGAGCCCAGTTGGAGGAGCTCACGCGCCAGGAGGAGGAAGCCCGGGCCCGTGAGGCCGAGATCCAGAAGAAAGCCGCGGAGGACGCCAAGCAAGCCGAGAAGAAAGCCGCGGAGGACGCCGCGCAAGCCGAGATGCAGAAGAAAGCCGCGGAGGACGCCGAGCAAGCCCAGATGCAGAAGAAAGCCGCGGAGGACGCCGAGAGAGCCGAGATGCAGCAGAAAGCCGCGGAGGACGCCGAGCGAGCCCAGATGCAGAAGAAAGCCGCGGAGGACGCCGAGCAAGCCGAGATGCAGAAGAAAGCCGCGGAGGACGCCGAGCGAGCCGAGAGGCAGCAGAAAGCCGCGGAGGACGCCGAGCAAGCCGAGATGCAGAAGAAAGCCGCGGACGCCCAGCAAGCCAAGATGCAGAAGAAAGCCGCGGAGGACGCCGAGCGAGCCGAGAGGCAGCAGAAAGCCGCGGAGGACGCCGAGCAAGCCGAGATGCAGAAGAAAGCCGCGGAGGACGCCCAGCAAGCCAAGATGCAGAAGAAAGCCGCGGAGGACGCCCAGCAAGCCAAGATGCAGAAGAAAGCCGCGGAGGACGCCCAGCAAGCCAAGATGCAGAAGAAAGCCGCGGAGGACGCCAAGCAAGCCGAGATGCAGAAGAAAGCCGCGGAGGACGCCCAGCAAGCCAAGATGCAGAAGAAAGCCGCGGAGGACGCCAAAGCCGAGATGCAGAAGAAAGCCGCGGAGGACGCCGAGCAAGCCGAGATGCAGAAGAAAAACCCCCACCCCCCAGGTTTACAGTCTCACCCCTCCAGTGAGCCCTAACCCCGCGCCGTAACCCTCAAAACCTAAACCCCAATGGCCCCAAACTAAACCCCTAAACCCCTAAACCCCAAAAAACCCCAAACCCTAAACCCTGTTAGGCTCGGAAGAATTGTAATTTCCAAGTAAAATTGTTAGAAAGCCGTGGAGGACGCCAAGCGTGCCGAGGAGGACAAGCGCCAGGCCGAGGTCCTGAAGAAAGCTGCGGAGGATGCGCGCAAAACCGAGATCCAGAAGAAAGGCCAGAAGAAAGCCGAAGCCCAGCAGCAAGCTGACGATGCCGCGCGTGCTGAGAAGGCAATGCAACAGTTCTTCGAGAAGAAGAAGGCTCACGAGGACGCAAAGCGCCGGTGAGCTGCAGTGACGTATTCTTTCGTGGAGGAAAAAGCTTCCAACATGACTCCAAGACCAAGCGCCAAAGTTTTGCACAAGCACACCAACCCGGCTGCCCCTTCATGGCGCAAAGACGTTCCGCATTTTTGATTTTCCTTCATGCTCAGTCTTTGCGGCGTGCGTGCTGCGTGCCATTTCTGTGCCTTCTCTCCATACATCCATACACTAACTAGAGCCACCAGAGCTGAAGATTTTGCAGGTTGTGTTTTTGCAGACTCATTGCTTGGCACGAAAACACGAGAGTCACGAAAGTCATGCGCCTGAGGAGGTGCCATCTTGCAGACACTGTGTCTTTTACAGCGTGAGCAAAAAAGCAGCCGAGTCAGGTCCGCTAGGTGAAAGGCCAGGCTTTCCTGTTGATTGCGCTTGAGCTTGCAAGACATCGCACCGCGTTGTTGTGATTTGCAATTGTTGCAGGCGCACAAGAGCGATCCGGATCAGGAGGCTGTGAACTGGTGCCTAGCATGGGCTGAGAGGCACCTTGCGTGCATCCAAGGGGACATGTGGCAAACCTTGAAGGGCAACCTTGAGGCTGGAGTCGAGATGATCACACGCTTTTCAGGGTTGGATGCGCCGTCCTGCGCGGCCCGGGAGATTGAACGAGCTTGTGCAGCTCGTGGCCTCCGGCTTGGTGCACGGCAAGGTGTGTGGCTGCGCTCATCGGGAGACATTGCAGTCGGTGCTCAAAAGTGCCTGCGGCACCTACACGCAGTGCCTTCATATGCCAAGCATGCCCCGTGCCACATTTTTGACAACCTGGAGGCATCAATTTCTCCAGAGGCTCTGAGTGCAATGAGGAGCATCGTTCAACAGTTTGCAAAGCCAGAGATGTCTTTAACAGATCAAAAGGCCTTTATGCGCCGCTTGATGGAGCCGCTCTTGCAGCCTGGAGCTTTGTTGAGCTCAGCGCCGTGCCTGCTGCATGAATGTGAGCTCGGGTGCCCGTTGAATGACGACGCAGGCCCTGCAGCGGGGCGCAAACTGCACGTGGCGGGATCCCCTTGTGTGGATTGGTCTCGGAGGGGAAAGCGGCAGGGCTCTGTGGGGCCCACGGCTATACCCCACACAATTTGGCTGGCACATTTCATCGACTCCGGCGTTTGTCTTCTCTTGCATGAAAACACGCCGGATTACCCGGATTGGCAGTTGATGGATGCCTTGCATTTCTTCAGCAGCCGTCAGTGGCAAATTGAGGTGTTCAACATTTGTCCAACCATGTTTGGCATTCCAGCCAAGCGAAAGAGACGTTACTCTGTTGTGTGGCACGCTGGTCATGTGTCCTTTTCGGGCACCTTCCGGGAGTTTGTGGACATCTTTGTGCAGCAGTGCGACCTCAAAGGTGACGTATTCTTTCGTGGAGGAGAAAGCATCTCCCAACATGACTCCAAGACCAAGCACCAAAGTTTGCAAAAGCATCACGACCTTCGCCTTGAGAGGATGAAGACCAACCCGGCTGCCGCCGCGCAGGACATCGCAGACTTATCCCAGCGTCCGCCATTCGGCACTTTGGACACTTTGATCCCGTGCTTGACGACCGGTGCTTGCGTCTACAGCTTGTCAAAGGGAAAATTTCTCACTGCCCAAGAAGCCCTGGAGGTGCAGGGGCTGGGTGAGGAAGCGCCGGTGTCCCGCTTGCTGGCGGATGGCAAGCTGAGCATCGGTCAAGTTCGCAAGCTGGCAGGAAACACGATGGCCCTTAGCTGCATTGGAACAATGATGCTGTACATTCTCTGTCGCACAAAGCCTGTGCAGCGTGTGATGCCAGTGACACCTGCCACTCAGCCTGAGTCGCAAAGCTCGCAATTCCCGTTGCAGTCCATGGGATCCAGGCAATTTTGACAAGACGCACTGCGTGCACTGCACACAGCCCTCGGAAGAAGAAAGATCTTGCAGTTGCAGATTGATTTGCGTGCTGTTGAGTGCGACGCAGGGGGGTTGAGTTTTAACAGAGTTTGAGGGCTTCGCCCAGAGCCGCCTTTACACCCGTAGGACTGTAGGAGAGCCCCGTAATCTAACGTAACACTGCGCAGGGCACAACGATTTTGCATTGCAAAAATTCGTGTTGCAGTGCGATGGAGGGGGTTTTGAGTTTCAGGGCTTCGCCCAAAGCCGACTTTACGCCCGTAGGACTGTAGGAGGGCCCTGTAAATTGACATAACAGGGCAGAAGGCGCAGCGATTTTTGCTTGTCATGACTTTTATGTTGCAGTGCGATGGAGAGGGCTTTAAGTTTGAAGGCTTCGCCCACCGCCGCCTTCAGGCCTGTAGGACCGTAGGGGGAAATTTGCAAAACAGGGCAATTCGGTTTCCTGTTTATAATTTCTGCCGTCGCTTTTGTGTTCACCCCTCCCCGGAAAGCTGCCAAAACGAAAAGCCGCACGTGACAAGCTACCGGTTTCGGTATCGTGCAGCCGCAAAATAATTCACTATTTTTTCACTGGCTTCCCCCTTGTCCCCGCTCCAACGGACTCCAACGATAGGCCCGAGCAGAAATCTTCAACAGTGTGCCCCGTGGTTGTTGTTGGCGCAAAACGCTTCAGCAATTATAAGACACAGCTGCGCTGGGAGACACCAGTTTCACCAACCTGAGCCCGGGCCAACACCTACCAAAACCAGGTGTCGGTAGCAAGTTCATAGTTACTGACAGTTACTCTCGAACGAGAGTCACTGCCAAGCTGCTTCCTTGAGACGCGTCAAAAATCGATTCGAGGCAACAAGCCATTTTTATCGTGCCTGCCGAGATTTTAGGGTTCGGCGCGTGTCACCAGGGGGGGGGGAGGGGGCGACTAGTCCCTACTACAACCTCGATGCCGCAACCAGAAGCCCTTTCCTGCAACTGGGGCCTGGATTTGTGCAAAGCCCGAAACCACCATATCACAACCAGCCAACGAGCTTGAATTTTGCATGGTTTGCAATCTGATGGTGAGCCTTAAAGGAAACACATTCATTTTTAGCAACAATAAGTTGCAGTAGGTACCGTTCTTCGCCCGGATGCTACGATTTACTAAATTTTCATGATGAGCCAGCCAAAAACTAACACTGAAGGGGTTCTATGTTCTTGAAGGTTTGACTTCAAGCAGTAGACCAAACGCTGTACTACCCCGAAAGCTTCAAACTTGTAAAAACCCGACAGTTTATTACCCCAAAGGCTTCAAGCCGGCAAATCCCGAAAGTTTAACCGTAAAACCCAACAGTGCGCTACCCCAAAGGCTTGAAACGTGTGCAAAACCCGAAAGTTTTAACACTCGGAATGCTTCAAACCTCTAATTCCTGAGTGTTGACTACCCTGAAAGCTTCAAACCTGTGATTCCCAAATTTAATACTTCAAGGGCTTTGTCAGCTCCGTAAAGCTTTTACGGATGCCTTAAAAGATCTCGTAGAACGTGTATGGATGCCTCAAAAGAACGTGTAAGGACGCCCCAAAAACCTCCTAAAAATTGTAAGGGTTCCCTAGAAGAGCCTGCTAATCATTCGACAATGCTGTACAAGGCTCTAGCAGACCCCATTATAATGTACGCTTGCACGCGATAATCATCATAATAATATAATGACAAGGGGCAAAAAGCTCAAGTTTCACATTAAATTCGTGCGTCTCTTCGTTCCTTACAACTCAATATGCAAAATGAATGAGCTTTGTACGACCGCTGTTAATGAGTCTTTCCTGGGCTTTTGCTGCACACGTTCATCACACCCTAGGATGCACAATATAAATACACTCGTCTTATAATTGCATAATTTAAGGCATGACTTCGTGAATGATTCTCTTCGCTTTGTTGTTCATCCCTTATTTTCTTGTCCCGCGAAGAGACCTCACGTGCATCATCTGTTTCGTTCAATCGCTTATTTAATATTTAATTCGTGCTTTCCTTACAAGTACTGCTCACACAACCCTATACTAAACAAAGAAGAATGTTCCAGTTGCAATAGGGACCCTTTTTGTGCATACAGCTGCTCAGTTGTAGTAGGGTCCAGTTTCTGGTTGCAGTATAGGGCTTCTGGTTGTGGTATTGGGGTTCCGGTTGTAGTAGGGACTATTTCCGGGGGAGGGGGTGGGGCGACCAAGAAGATCTACGTAGGTATCAGAGAAACACATGGGCAGTAGGTCCTGGGTGTGTGGGCGGGGGGGGCGGTGACCGTATATGTGGTTGTGCGCTGTGCGTTCTCGGCCAGGCCAGGCCCCCCCCCCGCCCCCCCCCCCCCTGCCCCCGCCACCCCAAGGTTCCCTAAAACCCTAAGCCCTAAGCCAAACCGAAGATAGGAAACCAAGCAAAAACATGTAATTAATGCTGTAAGAAAAAGAGAGACAGCTATCAAGTGAATCATTATTTGAAGATGCGAGAATACAAAAATCTTTGTTCGGAAAAGATAATTTAAACAAGAATAACCACAAAGCGAAGAAAACAATACATTGTGATGACAATTGAGAAAAGCATGTCCTCAAGATATGTCTGGAAGATAGAAGGCTTCTCCTGGGCAGCTGAGATGGTTTAAGTAAATTGAAGATATGAGCCCTGCTTCCTTATGCCCCTTCTTGGCAAGGTTTCTTGTGCAGGCAAGGAGTTTACGTGGTTGAGCATCTGAGCCCTTGGGCTTCTCGTTTCTTGGGTATCTTATGCAGGCAGTATGATCTATTGCAGTCCAACATCTGCGTGCCTTGTAGTCTGTTCGTTCACCCATCCTTTCGTGCCACACCAATAGCTTCGCTCCGCCTGCTTCGAGCAGCTGGTGTTCGTGATGCAAGTCTCGCACATTCATGTTTCAAGTGGGTTTCTTGCGAGCCCCCTTTCGCACCAAGACTATGGTTAAATCGCCCGCAAAACAACAGTAACAGAGAAGCATGAAGCAAAAAATAAGCGTATAGAGGGAAAAACAAGGCAAACAAAATAGTTTCCTAAGACTGAGTTCAGGAAACTAAACCCTACATGGATATATGTAGTTAGAATCTCCATAAATATGTATTTTTACGCCCCTTCCCCGTCCCCCCGCCCCCCAACGCCCGCCCTCCGAGGTGTCGGCTCCACGACGCGGGCCTGTCCCGGACTCTGACACTTTGTAGAGTTTAGGGTTTCGGGTTTAGGGTTTAGGGTCCCTAAACCCCTTTTATGCCCAAAATAGAAGAGAGTCCCCTTAAAGGACCCAAAAAAGGGTACCCCTATTTTCGGAAACAGCCACTTGTCTCTGTGGGAGAACTGCAAACACAGCTATACTGCTTTTGGAAGGTTTTTTACATGAAGCACTCGGTATCGTCCCAAGATAACTCCCCATTCAACTCTGTTTCGCCTCCCAGGTACAGATGGCTTGTGGATGTGGGGCTTTGGGCGCGCAAGAGGTTGGCAGACCAAAAAGCGCATTGCCTCCACCTCCTCTTGGAGCTGAATCAGCAGATTAGACGCCTCAGGGGCTGATTCTCCAAGCCTTTTGTTCTTAGTTCGAGCCCCAGGCCGCATTTCTCTGGCTAAATTCACGGGATGCTGACAAACCTAGGACTGCGAGGGCTTTGGAAGCACCGAATCCGACAAGACACGAGATGCCAAGCTCATGTCCCTTTGCATGCAGTGCCTCAGTTGCATCTCAGAGGGTATATTTGAGCTTGGATTTCGAAAGCGTCGCAAGCACTGTCAGCTCGCCTCTTGACTTCGGGCATGCTGCCGCAGCCGGCGCAGGTTGTCTTCTGTCTTCTTGCTCAACACCAAGGCGCCTGTGCTAGATTTTTGCTGCGATTGGCTGTGCCCAATGGGGCCGTCGTCATCTGCCTCCAAGTCCATGCAGGGTGTCCTGAGCGAGAGTCTTTTCAGCGCCCTGTCCCTCGTGTGCAACATGGCGGAGCACTTCGAGGGGCAGGAAGCGAGCAAGCCGGCCCTCCTGTGGTATCCTGAATTGCGCTTGAAGTCACTCGCATCTGTCTTCCGACCTGCAAGATGGCATTTGGGGTATGAGGGGCTTTTGATGGCTCAATTTGAAAGGGAGCCGGGGTAAGGTGGGTGCTGCGCGACTTCCTCCTAGAGCTGGTTGATGACGGCAAGCGGCTGACGCCTGATGAGTGCTTCAGCTGCAAACCGCAGGGCCCCACACCCACCCCGAGAGCTTGGTGTCCGCCCTCAGGTATCTGGAGTCGACCCTGCACAAGAAGCCGCCTGATGGGGTGGACCCCCAGCGATCACAAGCTGCCATGTGGCTCAGAGATACAAGAGTTGTCGAGGCAATTTTGTAGCTATCTTCTTCCACAGCCCCCGAAAATTCCAAGCCGCGTGATGAGGCCCGTGAGGTGCGAGAGACATTGCTAAGGCGAGGAGGGGGGCTCGGAAATCCTTACGAAGGTTGTGGCTATCAGGTTTGGGAACATCTGAAAGTTCTTTTGAGGTCAGCGTGCGGGGAGATGTCGAGAGTACTGTAGTGGCTAAATAAAGCCCCCCCAGTTTTACAAGTAGGGCCGGAGAGGCTCCAGAGAGTCTGAGAGTTGAGGTTTTTTCCGCAACGCCAGTGTGCCACCCTGTGCCAGCCTGCTATCGTACAGCTGGCGCAACTTACTATCTTCGACCTGAAGCTTTCAGGAATGATTCAGGGGGTGCCCGAGATTCGTTTTGCGTCGGGTTTCGGCTTGGGCCTGGGGTTTTGCCGGGCGTTGCGTCGCGTTTTGAAGCAGAGATCTTGCCTTCTCCTTTGACCTCTGCCAGGATGAGCAGCAGCTGCGAGAGCTGCCAGAGGCCGGCAGATCTGCTACACTGCTCCTCCATTGAGCCCTTTTGCTGCATGTGCAGGTGCCTTTCGAGAGGCTGCGACTTGAGTTCCGAAACGCTTTCCAGGACACCTTGGCGGTTTGCATAGGGGGGCCTCATATGCTGTTGCAGAGGTCTTAAAGGACCGGGTTGGTGTAGGATGCAGGGCTGACAAGCGCAAGCTTCGTCCTCTGGGGTGCTGGGAGTGTTGGTGCCGTAGGTGCGTTGTGCCTGTCTAGAGGAACTGCAGGCAAAGCTGCTCAGCAGCGAACCAAGCTGCTCGACTTGCCAGTGCAATCCAGCGCATACCCTGAGTACCCTGAGGCTTGACTGACACTCCGAAGACCATTGGAGGCGCTGAGCACACCTGCATGCGCAAAACACTGAACCCCAACCGACCGAAGCAAAGCAATCTCAGATTCTGAGCCCCAAGCCCAAAACATCGAAGAAAGATACCCTACACGTACCCCGCAACTGCCCACAGATCCTCGACATGTCGGGGGCTCGAGGCCAAGCCTTATGTGCGGCTCAGTGGATTGAGATGCTGCGCCGGCTCGTGCAATCCTTGAACGATGGCCATGCGCTTCCTGCATGTTTGGCACTTGGGAGCAAAACCTCGAATCCATTCGATTGCAGCTACCAGCCTCACGCAACGAGAGGACGATCCTGATGTAAAACGTCTTTCACGTTCACTGTTGCCCGAAACCATACCTTCAGACATGCCGGATATTGGAAGTGAACAGGTGCGTCATGGGGCCATATCCCCATGACGTCGCAAACAAACTGGAGCATCTTATTGTTTCTTGCATCCCCTGCTTAGTTGCATGTCAAGGGAGCCTCGAGCAACAAAAGTCCATGTTCGACGATGTTCGCACACAGATTCAACCTCGCTCATATCCGTCGCCCCTCAATTTACAAGTTGAAGCCTAGGGGCGTTTACTTTTCACGTCCCACCGCCCAAACAGACATTGTAGTGCTTCACAGCTGTCGAGGAGCAAGCTTTTAATGCAAGATCATCCAGCTTCGAGAGGTTATCTGGCACATAACGCGATTTCCGGATGACACCTCGAATGCAGTCTGTAGTTTTCAGACCCCCGAACTCCCCAATCTCTCCCCCAAACTCTCCTAGACCCAGACCCAAACCAACCTTAACTCAGTCTACACTGTCGCCAGGCCATGAGAGTGGGCGATGCGTGGGCGCAGGACGGAAGCAGCTGCAACTGTGTTCACTTTTACTCCAAAACGCGGTGTGAATGCTTTGCTGAAAACGCAGTCTCGTATTATTTTTAAAGAACAAAAACTTTGAGGGGCACAGGTGACTTGAACAAGGATTTTTTTGCCACTGGAGAGGTGCAACACACCAATTGCGGCGATCTCGTGGCCGAACTCCGTGAGCGGGCAGCCAGCGAGCTTCAGAAGGCGGGTCTTTTCCCGGGGTGGTCGTCTTCCTCTGCCCAATTCACTAGCATTCACTCGCCAGCAGCGTAGGCAAGTAACTCTCAGCAAAGGACGAGTTCATTTCGTCCCTTTCCAACCGGCCAGTCAAAGCCAACAAACCGAAAGGACGACCCGGCGCTGCCATACCCCCTCTTAAGCCCTCAGTCATAAAAAGCCGTATGAAGCCCTGACAAGCGCAAGAAGAAGAGCAGCTCACTAACGCAGCCCCCCTGCTCTCCTCGGCCCTCGCAGTGCTAAACCCCCTAAACCCTAAACCCTAACCCCCAAACCCCAAACCCCAAACCCCAAACCCCAAACCCTAAACCCTAAACCCTAAATCCTAAACCCTAAACCCTAAACCCTAAACCCTAAACCTTAGGTGCGGCAAGGGAGTCCCTTCCCGATTTCCGGGGGCCGGCCAGGAGCTCAGCTGCCGGAGCTTTTTTGGAATTGGGATTTGAATCGGGCTTAACATGGTCATCATTTCTTTTAATCCGAGCATCTGTTTAATTGGGGGGCCCCCCCCCCCCCCCCCCACAATAAGGAATGCAGGGTTCCGCAATAGTGGGACCATGGCCCTGTATTGATTCTCTATTAAAAACAATAAGAATGTATTGAAAACAATAGAAACTTTCCTGCAGAAGCAAAAAAGCTTTCCGAAAGGCTGAGTTTCAAAATTTTGCAACCCCCCCAAAAAATTTCCTTTAAATGTGGGGGGTTAGTCCCATACGAAATCCACCCTAATGGAAAGTAGTCTTCCGGCGGGCTTCCGGCCAAAAAAGTTTCTTTAAATGTGGGGGTATTAATTAAACAGATGCTCGGATTAAATCATGATTATCAGTATTATTGTTATCATTACTATTGTTATTAGTTTTTATGATTTGTTAATGTTTTTTTACTATCATCTTGATGTCACACGAAGCGCCGAAACTCTCAATGATGTTTTTTTACTATCATCTTAATGTCACAAGAAGTGCCGAAACTCTCAATGACTGCATTTTAGGGGTCGCGCTTGTGGGTGCTCAGGCCATTGCCAATCTCAGACACGGCCCTGGCAGCCAGTCTCAAGGCAGTGACCTGCAGGGGCTGAGATTTTGTGCGTGGCTTCGCCGCTTAGCAAGGAGTGCCGCAGAGCTGTCCGGGAAGAATTCCGCAGCCGCGCGGTTGGTGATGAGTCCATGAAGGCCTCGTACTGGAAGGACTTTCGAGATGTCAAGCACTGTCCACAATGTCCACAATGGTTCTTAGGGCCTCCGAAGCGCCGAAAACGTCCCGCTGCAGGAGCTGAAGGCTGCGCTGCAGGATGACGAGCAGGCCGTGGGTTTCAGCTCTGAGCGTCTTGGAAAGAAGCGGGGGAAGTGCATTGGCGTTTTTGCCTAGCGGAAAAGCGTTTGATTGGCAGCCGCTCCCACCTGTCCTTGTTTTCAGACGCTGCGGCAACACAACGTCGAGATGGCGGAGGCGCACCTTCGCCAAGCAGGCCATGCCACACCTGGGCTATGCCACACCTGGGCCCTGAAACCCTGGGAGTGGCGGAGTGGCAGCTTGTTTTGCTTGTCTTCCATGTTTTTTTTGTTGGGGGTTGGGGTGGGGGACCGTTCTCTGACTGGGGTTGGGCTCCTGGCTCAGGGCTTGGAGGCTTAGGTGCTCAGACAGTTCTGATCGCCGCGAAGACGGAAGGTTTGTTCTCCGAACAGTGCTTGCCCTACGGCGGCTCTTACATTCAGGATCAGGTTGCACGTGTTCGAGGCTTCTGCAGGGTTGCTGGTGCAAACCCACGCTCCCAGCGGATATTCTTTGCTTGCCCGCACCCGCCTAGGGGCCTTGAACCTTCAGTTGACCACGGTAGCTCGTGGTTTTCTTACATGCCACGCTGTGCTCGCTTTGGCGCTGCCTGGCAGGGGCTGAGTGGAGCGCCTGGCTCTCGCAGGAGCGCTTGACATGTCGGGTTGGAGTCTAAAGCCGACCAAGGTTTGCGAATTCATCGCTTTGTGACATCTGGCAGGAGGAGGAGGCCGCACCGGGAGATCCCAAGTCGGAGGACGGAATCCGACTGCGCACCGAGTCTTCTAACTTGTGCTGCAAGCCATCTTGTCGGCAGGTGCCAATATTACTTAGCAGCGCTTCTGCATGCATGGTGAATGTTCGGCTCTTCGCCAGGCCCTGCTGCATGCCTTGGGTCTGGACCTTCCGGCGCAGCCTGTTGCCTCTGCTGCTTGGGAGGTGCGGGGGTACGGTGAACAGCAGCAAGAGGGTGTGCAGAGTTTAAAACTCTTTTTCAGGCACCCAACTCCATGCACCAAACAACAGCTAGATACCGTGATGGACTTAAGCGGATATGGACATCAAATTCACAGAGCAGGGCGCAAAGCAACAAACAAACACATTCACACATTCACACATTCACACATTCACACAGTCACACAGTCACACAGTCGCACAGTCAGACAGTCACACAGTCAGACATTCACACAGTCACACAGTCACACAGTCGCACAGTCAGACAGTCAGACAGTCACACAGTCACACATTCACACAGTCACGCAGCCACACAGTCGCACAGTCAGACAGTCAGACAGTCACACAGTCACACATTCACACGTTCACACATTCACACATTCACACATGCACACATTCACACCCTCACACGTTCGCACCCTCACACCTTCACACCTTCACGCCCTCACACCTTCACGCCCTCACACCTGCACACCTTCACACCTTCGCACCTTCGCACATTGACACAGATTCCCACACTCACACTCGCACTCACACTTCACACTCACACTCACATTTCACACTCACACACACTCTCTCACACTCTGACACTCTCACACTCTGACACTCTCACACGCTCACACTCTCACACTCTCACACTCTCACACTCTCACACTCTCACACTCTCACACTCTCACACTCTCACACTCTCACACTCTCACACTCTCACACTCTCACGCTCTCACACTCTCACACTCTCTCACTCTCTCACTCTCTCACACTCACACTCACACACACCCACACACACTCACACTCACACTCTCACTCACACTCACACACACACACACCCACACTTGCTCGGCCAACTTGTCCGCCAGCCTTTCACGTAGGTCTGCTCTTCATCCAGACAAAGCGTTCTTGGTATTGATCATGAAGAACAACTATTTTGTTGTTGTTTGTTGTTCCCGTTCCGTGAGAATCAATGCTTTTGGTGCAGTAGGTTCGACCCAATGTCGCTGTTCTAAGCTGTAGCGTGTCGCCGTAGCAGTTGTTTCACACATTAGGTTGCCAGTCAACATCGATTCTCCTCGTTGCTGCTCTGCGGCGCCGTGTTTTCATGGCGCTCGCCGCTGTTAACTAACACATCTGCCATCGGCTGCAACTTACCGTCTGGGGAGCCATGCAAGACATTCCGCCGGCTTTGCTTGTTCTGTTCCGATGACCATCAGCGACTTCACATACTCAGCCGCGGAGTCATGCCAGGCATTGAGCTCCGCACGAATGGCGAGATTGAAGTGGGATGGCACCCGCGAAGCAGCAAAGGCCAGCTACAAGCACCGGAAGCTCGTAGGGTGCAGGAGTGCAGGGTTTACTTTGCAAGCCCAAGGTGTAAAAGAGCCAAGCGATGTACAAGAACACGGGTGCGAATATCAATACGGCACGTCGCATGCGCCCCGTACAGTATTATCATGATTTGCATTATCCAAAATATTACAGTTGTAGGCTGCGATTTGTTAAAAGTAGTATTATTTTGCTGAGCGAAACGAACTCTCTTGACAATCAAGGATTCATGCATTCATCTGTTTCACTAAATCCATTCATGTCGCCTTCATGTGTCCAAGTGTATGAATCATCAACTGAACCAACTGTGGTCCAAAAGGCCCTTGTAAGATATTTTCACGGGGCCCTTTGTCGCATGAATTTAGTCCTGAATTTCGGGACATCTTCACACATTCAATATACAATTCACGCTTGCAGTGCTATATTGCAGAAGGGGGCAAGAAATGACGCGTTCAACGCACCACAAAAATCTTAAAATGCTGTACGCAAACTCACTATAAGCCCGCGTCGTGCGATACGTTCACTTCTTGCCTTTGCTCGTTAAGTCACTGTATGCTTAGTATGCTCAGCCTTGTTCTGTGGTTAGCTTCCTAGCTCATGATTCCAAGGTGTTGGGGCCGCTGCGGTCTTCCTATATCTATACGGCCACGATAAAAGACCTATTTGGTGCCCCATTTCAACCCTTATTACTACTTTTTACCTTTACGGGAATGGGATGACATCACAGCCCCGTTCATGAGCCAGACCACCTTCATGAACTGCATTTAACGGCGTAGTTAGCCGCACAGAACGCTACCTGCGTCCCTTGGCCCAACATTCTCCTCGGTGCTCGCGAAATAAAGCGACTGGCAGCTTGTTGCAAAGGCCCAGCTCAAGCTGGTCACAGAGGAGTTGGAAAGGAAGGCCAGGCGAGCCCCTGCCCCTTGATATCCCTTGATGGTAGTGCTGGGGCACCATTGCAGTGACCTTGAATGGGGCCTTGGGTCTTGAAAGATGCAGCGTCTCGATCCTTCCTTTCTTTATTCCCCCATGGAAGGCTGTGCTGGCAGCTGCTGCGTCGAAGCAAGCCGAAGGCGAGCAGCTGGAGAAGCGACTCTGGCTCATTCGGCTTTGGACAATTTGGTGGATCTTTTGGAGATTGACTTGTCATCCGTAACAATGCTTGCATCAAGATGTTATAAGATGTTCACCCAGTGACCCACCTTCAAGAAAGTTTTGGAGAGTTTGAGGGTTCAGGGCCCTTTGCGACGTTTCGCGTCTGTGCTTTGTTGTTCGCTGTCGCGCGGCGCTCGTCCGAGCACGCTGTTCTTGACAATGGCCAGTGTTGTGGAGGCTTCCCGCCCTAAAAGCCCCAAACCTCAAACCTCAGACTTTTTTCCAGATCTTTGATGCCTTCGCACCTTTAGCTCCTCTCGGTTCATGTCCCAAGGAGCCGCGAGGTAGGCCAACTCCATGGCCAGGCTGGGTGCCGAGTTGGAAAGACATGCTTGGTTTTTTCTAGGGGGCGGGATGGAGATTCTTGCCTCCCAAGGTCGAGGCTCTTCAACAACAGGCTCGGCGTGCGCATGATCTGAAAGTTGCGGATGGAAACTCCCTGAGCATCAGAGGCCAGAGAGTTCATCGAACGTGAAAGAGCTCTTAAAGAGCAGGCCGGGCTCTCCGAAGTTGAAGCCCTGAAGCCCTAACCCCCCCCAACATCCTACACCCCCCCTCTATCCCAAAGCCCCTTCCGGGACCTTGTGGGAGCTTGGAGAGATGTCTTTTGAATCCCCGAGCCTCTGCCAGGTCCTCCTTGCGGAGGAGGAGCTGCGGAGGGAACAGCATGCCCGGAGTGAAGCTCGGAGCTTGGAAAACTGGGGGGGAGGGGGGGGGGGGAGGTTTTAGTATTATTTTTTTTTCTATCTTATTTTTGCTTCCAATCCTGGCGCCATTACAAAGGGGAAGAGGGGCCCTCCCCCCGCAACCCCCTTGCAAAATGCAAGAACCGAGCCATGTTTGTCAGCTCTCTGACGTTTGCGCCAGCAAAGCTGCAGCAATTCTCCTTCTGCCTTTCCCTCGCTTTCAGTTTGTCTAAGATGGTCCGGGCCGGAGCCATCCGAATTCTCCTTCTGCCCTATTCATTACAAAAAGTTCCGGGCCCTAGTTTACGCAAATTGATCATTTGGACTCCCTATACAAACATGCGGGGATTTACATGTGAACGCTCTGATTGTGTGTGTGTGTGTGGAAACCTTGATCCGACGATTCCCCAATACTCAAACGGTAGTTGGGACTTGGGGCAGGCCAGGGACTAAAGGAATTCTTTCAACATCCTGCAAAACGCAGCAAACAAGTAACAAGCATTGCAGCTGCTAGCCTTTACTACGGGCCCCGGCCGAGCCGCTTCCCTGTGACTGATCTGGAGGCGAGTTGCGCAAGCCAAGGGAAGTTCTGCCTACAATGGTCCCACAACTGCAGAACTGCCAGAAGTGAATTTGTGAAACCCATTCAGGTTGAAACTGTGGCTTCTTTCATGAAAGTCTTGGAAAGCTGCACTGCCTTGAAGGCGCCTACCATGGCATCCCATAGCTCCAGCTCCTACAAAGCAAGCTCCACATTCCACAGCACACTTGTAACTGTGCCCCACAGTGCCCTCATGGGTACTAGCTTGAGAGGAGAAGGTTGAGCTGAGATCCTTCGGCAGTCCTTTCTTTAAGAAAAGTGTTGACGTCCTGGGTTGGAGTGGGGTGGGGACTGGAGGGAGGTCGGGCCTCGATACTGATTGCTCTCACGTGCTTCGCCGGGTGTTAGGGTTTAGGGTTTAGGGTTTAGGGTTTACTGTAGGGTTTAGGGGTTCTTCCGCAGAGGAAGGACGAAGAAGGGGCGCTAGCATGCGGATGGAAGCTTCGAAAGGGCACAGCCATGCTGCAATTCAGAACCTCCAAGAACATTCAGCAGATCTGAAAAACAGCTGTGGACCAACTCCAGCTGTTGTACTCTCTTGCAGTCCCAGCTGCTGCACATGAGCAAAAGCACCGGAAGAAAACAAAGAGCGTCGAGGGAAAACAAAGCAGAAACAGTTTCGCAGCCTTTTGGAAGCTAACTTTCGGAACCCTGAACTTCGAAACCCTAACCCACACTTCCCCCCCCCCCCCCTCCCCCGGTATGCTGGGCAAGGCCGACCGCCTATCAGAGCAACGAATTCACGAGCTGCAATCACAGGCCTGGGGAGTTGCCTGGGAGTTCCCCTTAACTTCCCCGCTTCCCCAAAGGCCCCAAACTAACCCTAAACTAACCCTGACTAAGACCGAATCGAACCTAAGGCCCAACGGCCTAAGTGACCCCAAAGACCTGCGAGATTGCGGAGCTTCGATCCGAAGCTCTACAGCTGCAAGAGTGCTACAAGGACTGCTTTCAAGGGAGCCAGCGTCGGATTTTGAAGGATGGAGTCCACTTCGTCCTTGCTTGGATGCATGTTTCTTTCTTTGTAGCTGGTGAGACCGCTTGGGTGATGCCACACACGCAGTAGGTCAGAAATATGAAACTTCCGACTGCGGATGATATGACCCTGAGCGACTGATCCCTTCAAGAAACAAGATGTTTCAAGGATGCAGGCGTTCTTGAGAACATAGGCATGGTGGCACCGTTTTTCTCGATCGCGAATGTAGACCTGCCCAAGGGTTCTCAGTTGGAAATCTCCGCAACCATCCCTGCAGCCAACACCCAAACCCACGTAGGACACATTTGGATGTGTTTTCTGCTTTTTTTCACAATCTCGCATGGACTCCCGGGCTGGAAAGGACTGTCCAAGACAAGCCGACATACTCGTAGCAGATTCCCTTGTGGGTGGTAGACCAGGGGATGTTCTGGGCGGAATGAATCCCCTTCTAAGCTTCAAGGCCCAAGCCCTAAAGCGGCATCCTGGTTCACAGGAGAAGCGGCAGGAGACTGCCGCATCTCCGAGGGATACCCGGCCCAAATGCACCTGCAGTGTCATGTGCCGCTCTCGGACGGAGAAGGTTTAGCGTGTCGAGCTTCGCTTTGAGATGCTTGGAGCGTGTCTGCGAGCGGCTGTCGATGTGTCTGAGGTGAATTGATTTGCGCAGCGAAGCCGCGATCGAACAAAGACTGACACGTGGAAGGAGGGATGTGTAGAGAGGTGCTTCGGTAGCTATAGTTTCCCCGACGCATCCCAATACTTAGAGGGGACAGCAAGTGTGCTTCTTCGTGACAGATGTCTCGTTGCTTCGATACAGGAGTAAGTTTATGGGCATCTGCGTGCAGTGTAGGTGTGTGTGTACCCGCAGGCTCAGAATCAATGCAGGTATGGTTATAGGGTCGCCTGCATATGTTGTACTTGTACTTGTACTTGTACTTGTACATGTACATGTGCATGTACATCTGTGCTACGATGGCTTCTCATGCTTGCTACTTGGTTCAAGCCACATTTGCAGAAACCACTGATCAATGTAATTCGACATTCTGGGCAAAGTTCATCTCCGACAAACTGCCAGGGATCAGAGCTTCCGGCTTGAAGTTAAAGATGTGTTATGTCAGTTGCGTTGCCACTCTTTTACAGCCACACACAGACGTTCATGATCTAGCCTGGAACATGCTGCATCCCGGTCCTGCGCCGAAGATGAAAGCCCACGCGTGTCGCTCTGGAAATGCTGGGAGGCACCATCGAGACCAAACCGGCAACCGTCCTAATTCTTCAGGCCCAAAGCCAACACCCAGATTTCGACGAGCCCAAATACCAGCGAAACCGACGCAACCTTTGCAGAAAGGTTGCCAGCCCCTGCGACGCGCCTGCAGCTCCAAGTGCCCGGGCTGCTTGGTGACAATTTTCGACAGCTTGCAGCAGGGCTTCGGGCTTCGGATTTTCTCAGGTTTAGGGCACAAAGATTGCATGCAGGAGACATCTTTCATTTTCCTTGAGCTCATGCAGGAAAGCTCCAATTCGAAGCGAAACCAGAGCCTTGAAACTTAAATTCCCCATCTTTGTGAGCCTAGGGTGGGGTAAGTGGCGCCCGCCGCCTCCGCCCCGGTACCCGCAGGGTGCCTTGACCCGGTGGAGGGGGCTGTGGCTTGTTGATGAGTTCTGACATTAAGGGCCTTTCGTGAATGCTGCAAGTCCATGACCCTAAGTCCACGAAGCCTCATCAGCTTCAGGGATGCTGGGTTCAGGTTGGTATGGACTCAGCCATGAGAGTGGGAGGGAATAATAGGGTCCGTTTAACAGGTTTACGCACATGAGGGACCTTTACTGTAGTCCCCAAATTGTAGGATTCCCTTATAGCAAGGACCGCAAGCAAAAGGTGCCCCTGATGTCGGAAACCCCCACTTGACGCTGGACGGCTTGAATTTCATCATGTAATACTTCCGGAATGTACGCCAGCCGGGAATTTAACATATTTAACAAAAGGCCCGCGCATTAAATATATTAGATGTTAGATCCCAAGGCCAGATCCCGAATCATTTTAATATTGAATGTGTTAAAGATATTGAAAACATAAAGTACATGAAATACCTATCTTGAACAGAAAGGCTCGAACTTGATGTATTACATGTATTTAATGTTTTCAAATGGCATGCACATCAAATACATGAAAATATTAAACTCCAGGTAGAAAATATATTTAAGATTTTAGATGCTCAATGTTTGTGGGTTTCAGGAGCCAGCCTGGAATTCACTGAATCAATATATGCAATGTACTGATTTTTCCAGAAGGCCCGCACCTTAAATACATTAATATGTGAAACTCCCGTCTGGAGTAAAATATGTTTACTCACTTAAATATATAGAATTCAATGACTTGAATATATTTAGTGAAGAGGGTATTCCAAAAGGCCCGCACATTGAAATGTTAACGTACTACACTCCGGGATTATGTTGACTTTATTTAGTGTATTTAAGATACTATATTTTTGAGATACATTAATATTTTTACTATGTTCATTTTTAATGTGTGTGATTTTGTTACTGTATTTTAATGTATCTAATGTGTTTACTTTGCTTAATTTATCTAATTTAACCGTTTGGTTTCAGGAGCCAGCCTGGATTTCAACGAGTTCAACATATTTATGTATTGAATGTTTCCCATGCTTCATTCAAACCTCTAGGGCCCCTACCTGGCCCCAATTTGTGTTTCAGGTTACCTAGGCCGCAGCCCCATACAATGCTAGAGGCCTGGATTCGACGACGCTCTCTACTTCCCCTCTTGGTTGGTTATCCCACCGCGGCTTCCACGGAGCCTCCCCCCTTTTGTGCGAAAGTTAAAAGAGCTGAATTTACAAATAAACCTGGACATTCTTCGCTATGTTTTGGCGCGAGCTTTGTAGTCAAGCTGAACTTGACCACATAGCTCCGCCAAAACATGGCGAAAAATGTCCGGGTTTAGAGCGTGCTCACTCTAAGCGCCTATCGGGCTCTCCACTACAGAAACATGTTTAAAGCCTAAAAACCCTAAAGATATAGCCCCGAAAATTAAAGCGAAAGTAGGACGTAATTAATCGCCTTTGCAGAAAACATGTTTAAAGCTGAAAAAGACCTATGGATGCTAGTTGAAGACGCTCTCGAAACCACCCTCTTTTAGGGGAGTAGGTCTAACCCTACGAGCACGAAGCGAGGGGACATGCGACAAACCTCTAGGGCCCTCACCAAGCCCTACGAGCACGAAGGGAAGGGACATGCGACAAACCTCTAGGGCCCTTACCTGGCCCGAATCTTTAACTAGACCGGCGTTTAGGGTCTAGGGTTTCCTTGCATGTTTGCGCCTGGCATTGCTTCACATGACTGTGCAGTCCCTTTTGTCATTCTTACCGGACTCGGTTATTGGGCTTAGTAGTGCGCCTACACCTGTTGGCGAACATGAACAGCTTGTCCATCCAGGCGAGGACATTCTGCAAGCCTGGTTTCCTTGCAATCCATCCTCTGACGCCATGACCAGATAGCTCGCGCCAGCATGGTTCCTTTCCCCCCTACAATGGCCAACTAGCAAGGGCACGCAAATGAAGATGAAATGAATGCAGTAAACTCCCGGCGGTATCATTGCAGCATGAAGGGAGGGGACATGCGACAAACCTCTCGGGCCCTCACCAAACCCTGCGAGCACGAAGGGAGGGGACATGCGACAAACCTCTACGGCCCGCACCAAACCCGACGATCACGAAAAGAGGGACACGACAAACCTCTAGGGCCCTTACCTGGCCCGAATCTGTGTTTCAAGTTTAACTAGGCCGAAGTTTTGGGTTTGCGCCCTTCCATGTACTTACTCGTGCCTGCAAAGTTTAAGGGATGCTTGTCCTTTCGTGGGACTACAACCGTCCTTTGTGGGAAGAGGGTCTTATAGACGTTTTGAGCACAGTCTTTTCGCACAAAAAGAGGGTGGTTCAAACTTTGCGGGCACGAGAACATAACTTGAGGGGCGCAGAGGGGGTGCTTAAACCCTAAATATAAAGCAAAAACCTGTGCAACGCAATCGTGGCTCCATATCCTGCCCGCACTTTCAGGTCTGTGTAGGAAGGGCAGGACAAAGGGCTTCCACATCAGTTCTTTGGAATCCGTTTTGGGGCAATAGCATATTATTCTCCCACCGCGGTTTCCAAGGAACCACCCTCTTTTGTGCGAAATACCTTCTTTTTTTGCGAAGATGCTTAAACCACCCCTCTCATCAGACAATGACACCTGTTTGGTCAATCAAGCTACTCCCCTAAAATGAGGGTGGTTTAGGCGCGAGCTATTCGGTCAATTTTACTTTCTCATCTGCTATACGGTAGGTATCTTTCTTTTGGTTCTGAGGCGACCCCGCAAGTACACGCATTCCGCGTTTCATCTTGAATGAGTAGAATTTTCTGGCAGGCAACTTGCTGGCTTCTGCACTGACTGAGCAGCTCTCCGAGAAGGAGCCTTTAAGTGCATCTTTAAGTGCGCTGAGAAGCTTCTTGACACACTGAGCCTTGGCCCCAGTGACGAGGACGAGGTGCTCAAGCCCGCCGAGGCGCAAGCGGGATCTGAATTGATTTGGTCAGCAGGTCCAGATGTTCAACCAAGTCTCTGGACATGTTCGTGCCGAGAGCCCAAAGATTTCCAAGTATGATTGCTGAACTGCGGCTGCCAGGACCAGTACAAGTTGAAGGCCTGGCTGGCTGCATCCTTACCATTCTCCATGTAACCCGGGAAACCTCAAGGCTCTAAGACGGAAATCTTAGGGCACCAGGGGCTCGGGGGCTGAGGAGACGAGCCTGAAGCCACTGCTGGAGAAACACAGCGGCGGGAACTTCCACACCTTCGGTTCATGTGCGGGGCCAAGGGTCGACAGCGCCTAGCAACAAAAGGTTTGAATGATAGAAACTCCTTGCCTTGCCCAGCTTTGCCGGAATCTGAATGGAGATCTCAGCTGACAACAGATGATCGCGGCGCAGGTGAAAATGGGTTCTGGATGAAAGGATCCAGCTGGCCTGTTTGACCACGGACTCTGGTAGCAACACGAGCCCACCGCAGCCTCGCGGAGGAAGCGACGTCGACGCTTGCTTGGTCATCCCGAGATGTGCCCGCAAGCAGGGAACCAAGCCAGCTCTGGCAGTCTCGATTAAGGGAGGGCAACGAATCGGAAGGCCAAACGCCCTCGACTTCCCGAGGCCATGAAAATATCTCCCAAACATTTAGTGAAGCAGCACGTGAGGCAATCCTGGCTAACGAAGCTGTGCCTGCCTTGGTTGCCATTTGGGGTTGTGGGTTCGAGGAGCCATCCCATGCAACAAAACAGCAACAGCACCGAATGGAAACTTCACGGCTTCAAGGTGAGGCTTCAGAGCTCATCGGGATTCTGGGATTTGTGTATCTGTATGGCTGGATGCTGCATTTAAACGGTGCGATCCTGAAACGTGGGGTGGCAACCCCACTGCCTCTATATGCAATGCAGGGCAATAGAATGCAATGGTATGTGTATGGTATGGCATGTTCATCTCTCTCCCTCTCTCTCTCTCTCTCTCTCTCTCTCTCTCTCTCTCTCTTTCTCTCTGTCCCCTCATAGGGTGATTTCTCCGTGTAGAGCAGTGCCAAAGAAATAGCTGACGAGAGATCTGCTTTCTGTGAGCGTGCTGCAGCTGCACCCGGGGCTCGTTTGAGGCACCACTAGGTGCTTGAACCATTGCCTTAGCCCACGCATGACAGAGAAAGCTCTCACAGGCGACTAGTGCAAAGCCTGGTCATCAGTGAGAGGTGCCGCCGGCTGCTTGTGTCGCTTATTCGGGAGGGATGGGGATGCTGCAGATGCCGCAGGAATGTGGGGCCGCACTTTGTTCCGGGGCCCCTGTAAAGTCAAGTTTGCACTTCGACTGCTCCAGGGGAGTTGGGGGGGGGACACACTAACTAGCAGCGGGTCCCACGGGGAGTCCGACAAAATGTTTCTATCTTTGCGCGGCTGCATCCAAACCTTGGTCAGCTTGCAGTAAGAAATTGAGGGGGTTGGGGGGGGTTCAGGGGTCTAAGGTGTTGGCTTCCGTGCATCAGGATGGGCAGCGTGGAGCTCGTTCGGGGAGCGCGGGTTCCTGTACCGGCCTCGGAGGTGCTTCAACCCAAGAAAAATACCTTAAACTCGTGATGTAGTTGGGCAGGCTGGGGTCTTACTTCCTTTGAGAGGGATGAGCCTTTGAGGGAGTTTTTTGCGAACAGCGAGCTCTTTCCGATTTCGATAAGAGGCACAGGGTTGGCTTTACAGATCTTCAAGTCAAACCGTATGCGGAGCCATTGATGGACACACAGATTGAACTGACACAAACGCAGATTCTGGCTGCTTGAGCTGACCTGGCTCTGGTGGCAGCGCAGTTGGACAAAGCCGTCATTGCTTTCAGTTTTGCTTTGTTTTTGGCCTTTGCTACACTGCTACACCGCTGCAATCGTATTCTCTGTCTCCACCTGCAAGGTAGCAAAGATCCGGAACTCCGAAGGCAGGGTTACGCGAGGGTGCTCGCAAGCAAGTTCTGTCGGCTTGGGTCAGGTGACGACCTGTGCGATGTGTCCATCAACAACGTCAGCTGCTCGTGGGCAAGCTTAGGTGGTTTTTTGGTGAGGCATGGCAGGAAGCTGAAACCGAGGTCGCAGCGCTCGAGAATTCCAGGTTTGTGGGTGTGATGTCGAGCTTTGATGCGCGAGTGCCTCGCAAGAGCCTCGAATTCACTGAAGCGCGCAGCGGCTTGGGGTTTTGTGGGAGGCGGTGTTGCCTTGCAAGCATGGCCCGTGCAAGGCCTGGGACGTTTCATCAAGCACTGGGCTTCGCAGTTTTGCCCTTATGTCTCGCTATGTCTCGCTGAAGCCCGCAGCTCAAGCCCCTCGAATGCTGAGGCGCCGCATCAACAACCGCTCGGAGGGAACTTTGAGCACCTACACGCTCATCCTGCCCGGCACTCTTGACATTCGACATCTTTTGACTTTCGTACAGATGCCATCAGACACCTTCGCAACTTGGCCTAACTTGGCGGGCGGGTCCGAGGCAGCTCTTTTACTCTCTCCAGCTCCGAGACCCACCCGTCCTGCCACGCGTGACCTGCATGCTGTGCCCGGACTTGCTTCTTGGTGGCATCAGATGGCTGCGACGCCGAAACACTTAAGTCTGCCCCTGAACTCTCTCTCTCTCTCTCTCCTCTCTCTCTCTCTCTCTGTCTCTCTCTCTCACTCTCTCTGACTCTCCCTGACTCTCTCTGAGACCCCCTCCCCCATGTGCTTCGCGCTATCAGGATGGGCCAACAGCCAGGCCCCTGCCTAGTGCCCTCTGCATCAATCCCTCTGCTTTTGCCTTCTGAGCGACATGCGAAGGCAGAGAGGAGCCGCAGATGGAGGCAGAGACGTTCTCTCTCCACCCTCCGACTGCTCCACTTCAGCTCTACTCCCCAGCACTCTGTGACTCTTTGAGTCGGAAGGCCACACCCAAAGCGGTGAACGACTTGTTATCGGCCCCGGAGATGGCTCCGTGCCTGAGTTGACTCAACTTGAGCGCTGTGATTCTTCGAGTCTTAGAGTCTTAGAGTGGAGCACCTGAGCAATGGACCAGAAGGCCCTGAGGGCACAGACGTCTTATGCATAATCACATCATACCTTCTCAGCCAAACAAGCCGATGCCCTGCTCATTGCAAAGACACCTGCGCGCTTGTCGCAAAATGCGAAAACTCCTCCAGCAGGTGAGCCATCCATGTTCGCAGAACAGCGAAAGTTTAAACTGTCAGAAATGTTCGCAACAATTCCAAAGTTTTCGCAAGGTATGAAAGAGATGTATGCTAATCTTCGCCGTCGTGCGCTAAACCTGAACATGTAAAAGCTTTCGCAAAATCTCACGCCATCCCACAAACATTCGAGAATTCTCGCAATGCTTCAATATGTGTGCAAGAGGTCCCACAAGTTGTCGCAGGAAACGCACATGTCATCATGTCTACGGAAAATCGAAAACAACAATCTCGGGATGTTCCCTGCATAACCGTCGATATGTTTTCGCGAAACTTCTGGAGCCCCGTTTGGCTGACACATCCTGTACGCGCGCCAACAGAAACACGCGAAACTTCTGGAGCCCCGTTTGGTTGACACATCCTGACATATCTTAACCGGTCTGTCCTCTATACAGTCGGGACTACACATGCTGATAGCAGACACGCTATCTACAAGGACGACGTCTCCGGACAGCTGCGCTCCTTGCTGGGGGCTCGTTTGTTGCGTTTGCTCCAGGCTTTTCGAAGCCCTACAACGCTCTAATCCCTTCCCCCTAATATTAAACACCCCCCCCCCCCGCCTACCCCCTAATATTAAATACCCCCCCCCCCCCATGAAAGTTATATTATAGTATATTGGGGGGAGGGGATTAGTGATGCCCGACATCTTCACAAAGACCTGCATCCGAGACCTGCGGAGATGCCCAAAACCCGGTGAATATGGCGAATCTGCAGAGGCCAATACTCACAGATCCAAAGTTGATCAAGCAGGCCACAGGGTGCTCTCCTGAAATCTGAAAGCTTGATGATAGGGGAGGGGGGGGGGGGGGTGGGGTCTGGGATTCGGTGAGAGGTGATGAGATGCCCTTTGATTTTTGTTGGGAATCCTCAGCACACAGGGCCCTTGCTGTGAAACACTGCTAATTGCATGATTTCAACCTTGCTCACTTAGATGGGTTTCACGTTTCTGGGGCTGGTATGGCTGGCTTTGGGCATCTGATTTGCCGCAGGATGGCCAGCTCCCTCCGCTTCATAAGAACCAGGCGAGGCGACCCTGAAGCCCTGCTTCGTTGTGTTGTTGGGTTGCCGAGCTTCTGGACGATCTTGGTGCGATAGCTTTTGTGATTCCATGAGGGAGCCTTCCACTAAGGGGGCCATCGGCCCGCCACCAACGCTTCTGAAGCATTTTAGGGGAATGGATAGTGAAAGCACGAAGACCGCGGGGACGGAGAAGGGATGGTGAAGAGCCTGGATGACAACAGTGATCCTTGGAGCATCGTCGCGTCGCATCGCCGCCGTCTTTGTCGTCTTTATGTCAGTTTCTTCGGGATAGGGTCCGGTGGCCAGTGTAGTAACCCAAGTGGCAGCGTCTTATGAGGATTTGCGGCAAGGTCAAGTGGCTCTGTTTCCTTTCATGACACCGATATGCCTCTTGTACTTTTCTCGATGAGACTTGCTGGCCCGATGGCATCTTAGTGACTTAGCGACTCTGCTCTGCTCGCATATCATCACGATGCGCCTTTTCAGTCTGCGACAGATCGTGTTTCTGGCCGTCTGATTCTAGCGATACCCTGAACTTGGTGGCACGTGATGACCACTGCCTGCACCTGCTTTACCTGCTGATCATCGTTTTGTGACACAACTGGTAGAAGCACACGCCGTGTACTTCCTCGAGCTGTGACTTCGCGTTGCGGATGTGCCTTTGCGAATGCGCTTGGCCTCGCACGTTATCTCACATGTCACGGACCTGTGGCCATTGCGTCCGAAGACTCTGTGTGTGATGGCCTCTTAACCTGGCAGCCTAGCTTGGCAGGGAAAATGCGGGCCAGCGTCCCATCATGGATAGCTGCACCAAACGGAGCTTGGTTACGTTGGCCCGAGACATGTGTCAAAGTTGTCATCCACATCTGCTCGGGGGTACACACAAGCATAACCAAAAGAGTCGGAGAGTTGCCACGATTGTCCAGAGAGTCCAACCAAGTTTTCATTACCAAGTTGCAAAATCTCGAAAGAAACAAAACAAACCTTCAAAGCCTGAGCAATCCTAAACCCTAATCCCTAAGCCCTGGACCAACTTATGAGACCATGAACTACTATCCTCAATTCCAGCCGCAACACCAAATCCCGATTGATGGGGCAGGAGAGCATCGGTGAGCTGCTTCTTGGTTTCTTCCAACTCTGGGGCAAAGAGGACCTGCTGCGCGCAGGTGTTGAGAGGGTTGAGTAGGAGGGTGTTGGGGTGTGGGTTTTGGGTTGGGATTCATACAACACAGAGGATGAGAGGTTTCCTTTGCAAATCGCAGCCAGGGGAACTCTCAATCCCATCGATCATGTGAGTGCTGATATTGCGATACACGTCTGCAAGACTCACGATAAAGCACAGTGCAAAAGTCCCCCCTCAAAGCCGTAAGCCGAAACCTCCAACCCACTCCCCTCCAATCGAAAGAATGCAGCAACATGCACGGCGAGCATGGTGCCAGCCTCCGCTTCGATCCGGGCTTTGGCGAACTATTTCTGGCAACCCGCTTGGGCTTCCCTCGCAGGTGGGTTGAGGGGTCAAAGCCCTGAAATCCCCAGAATTTGGCGCCCTCTACGTCCAAAAGACTCTTACACAAAAGCCACCCATCAGATGACCTCCCCGTGTTTTTCAGGTGTTCGAGGCCAAGTCACCGGCCCCCGCAGCCGAAGGGCTGTGCTTCTTCTCTAGCGATTGGGCCGACATGAAGCTGCCTACCACACACCGACGCTGGGTGGCATGGCATCGCCGCAGGTGAGGGTGTCCGTGTTTGTTTGTGTTTGCGCAAGCGCATGCGCGATATGTGTATATCCTGCTTTGTACTGGTGGTAAAGGGCGCTTAGAGCTGCCCTGAGAAAACGGTGCCCAGGATTTCCCATCGACAAGTACCGCCTAACGAGGTGCATGCTGGAAGATGCTGGCATTCGGGTAGTACCTGGCCCCCTAGCCACATTTGACGAGGCCTGCTTGGCCCATGACCAGGCCTACGTCCAGAGCATTTTCGGAGGAGAGGCCACGGACCAGATGCGCCGGCGCGTGGGTTTCAGGGAAGCCCCAATGGAGGCGTATGTTCTCCGAACCTTGGCAAGCCTTGGTGCCACTGTGGCTGCTACACGCCACTGCCTCACCAATGGCATCTGGAGTGGTGCTGTCTCCGGGGGCACGCATCATGCCTTTGCTGACTCTGGCGAGGGGTTCTGCGTCTTCAACGATATTGCTGTGGCCGCCCGCCTTGCCCAGCGCGAGTTTCAAGTCTCTTCGATCCTTATCATAGACCTTGACGTGCATCAGGGCAATGGCACTGCAGGTATTTTCCACGGTGACAGCTCCGTGTACACTGTGTCCGTGCACCAGAAAAAGGGGTATCCCTTCTCGACACGATGTGCCTCGGACCTGGAGGTGGATCTTCCTGATGGCTGCGACGACGAGCACTTCCTCCAAGCTCTCGATCCTCTCCGCGACCTTATCTATCGAGCAGGCAGGGCTTTATGCAAAAGCGGGGATCAAAGAATAGAGTTAGAGCCATATGCTTGATCACATATATACAAAATATACAATGACAAAAAGACAAGACACCCGTGGCCCTTGGCCTTGGTTCGGAGGAGCCCGGAGCTTAATCATCTACCAGGCCGGGGTGGATGGCCTCAAGGGCGACCGCTTCGGCCGTTTCGCACTAACACGGCAGGGCCTGCAGGCACGCAATGCGTTCGTCTACTCTCTGGCGTGCGAGACCCAGACTCCGTTGCTTATCACCATGGGAGGCGGGTACCACAAAGACATCCAGGAGACAGTTCGTGCTAGTGCTGATGTCTATCTGCAGGCTGCAGAGGTTTGGGCAAAGTGTCAAAAAGGCCCGAAGCACATGCATTGCATGTAGTACACATGTCAGCTGCATCATCATGGACTGCCCAGAGCCAGTAGAGATCCAGCAGAGCCTGAAGCTTTTCGATATGTAAGCGCTCGAAAACCGGGGGGTTCTGCCACCACACACAGATGTCACGATGTCAACGCACGTCAGCGCCCGCCAGACTTTTGCACTGTTGTTGCAGCCCATGGGAGCAGTGCCTTCATTCCAGGAGTTCCGCGGGGGTGACGACGGGAACGGCCAAACCGTCTACGTGTACGATGCCTCCCAGGAAGGGCTTGGGTTGCTTAGGCAGGGCTCATTGCCCTGCCCTTTCATCCTGACTTCTGAACCCCGAACCGCCCAGTCATCCATGTTCCCAAGGTGAGTGTGACATGTCATGGATTGGGGGGAGGGGGAGGGGTCCGAAACATAAGTGGCTCAGAAGCTTAGGGACTTAGGGGATCCTGAGGCAGGCTGCCTGGATTCAACAGCACAAAAAAACTCCTAAGCCCCAGACGCCGCCACCAGGAAATCAATGACCTGGGAGTTCTTGTCATGAGGCCCGCATTCCGGGTGGCTGTGAGGAAGTTACTTTAGGACTCCGGGATTTGGGGCTGCTCAGCGTGTGGGGCTTGGGGCCGGGCGAGCTGACTGTGAGGTGTCCCCTGACGGGCAAGAATGTGAACCCATTTACAACCATGGCGCCGTGCTGAGAGAGTTCATCGTCAACTTCGGAGCACCTGCTTTATCAAGACTTTGTTGTTCCATTCCACTGCACGAGCGAAGCGGTTTTGCAACATCACGACAGGCTTAGAGTGCTGACCCTGCCGAAAACGAAGGGGGATCTGTAGATCGCTGAAGCCAAAAGGCAAGCGTCCTGCCTTCACTGCCGAGGTCTGGCGGGCCATTCATGCCGAGTTTGCGCGTGCAGCGACACTTCTCGCACAGGGACCCGGCATCGTGCTGTACCGAACGCTGAATCTTCCGACTGCCAGTGCGTCATCTCTTGCTGCTTCTGTCTTCACTTCACTGGGTGCCGAGATTGACGCGCAGGATGCACCTTGGAGGAGTTGTGCGAGCCCGCAGAGGCCCGGTCCAGGAGGGCTTTGTGAAGCATGCAGTGTGTTCAAGAGGGTTGCGAAGGGATATGCAGCTGCTGTGCCAAGCTTCCAAAGACTCACAGAGCTTGGATTACCCGCTCTTCCGATTCCAAAGGCTGTTGGGGTCGCTTTGCTAGGATCCCCATGTGGGCCCCAAACACTAAAGCTCTGGGTGACCCTTGGAGCCCCCAAGACTGAAACCAAAACCCTCCTTCGACGTTTTTGCCAGTAGTTTCAGCTATTTATTTGCACAATCTTGTTCGACAGTCAATGACGTCTTGCGGAATGCGCCCGCAATTTGTTCTATCTTTCGCTATCGCTATTCAATCCTGTTCATCGCGTTCACTTCTTGTAACCCAATATTAATATTGAATGACTGACTCCCTTTCTCTCTTCGATCTTTCTCCTCACAAGGTCGCTCATAATTGAACAGGGGCGGTAGCAGAGTGAGTGAAACTGAGAGAAGTTGATGCGCGACTGAAAATACAAGTGAACGAGTGCATTCAGCGAACGGTAACAACCAAGAAAATAGGCACAAAACGCGGTTGACGCAGTAGGCAAGTTTCATAATATTATTCACACTCCTGCTGAATGATTCTTCGCCCTAGCCTACTCAATTCACTAGAGAGCAGTGGAACCCTACTTTTTAGCCAAGTCACTCTCAGCCCCACGGGGCTTTCGAGAACAATGTGGAACCCTACTTAGGCCCCCCCTGTGGCTCCCTTACACCTTCAGGGTCTTCCAGCCGGCTGCGGTGGTGGCCACCGCGGTGGAGGTCTTGGTACCTCGGCCTTGGAATTTCGAAGCCCAGATGGCAGCGCAAATAGAGTAGTGAAGCACTTTGCAGCAGGCCTGTGGGACACTTGTAGAGTACAACTGCTGAAACACGTGACAGTTTATCCACTTGCCTTGCAGACACGTGTGCAACAGTTTAGCCGGGAGTCAGATGCCATGCCAGGGGTCTTGCATGGCGGGCTAAGGTGCCGAAATTGCAGCTCAACTCCTTGGGACTGAGAGCGCGGAGTGGCCCAGCGTAGCGAAAAAAGGGGCTCTTTGGGGTTTGGGCGGGGGGTGGGGGGCATCGGCAATTGTGCTTTGTTCTGAGCGGCGGTTTGAGAGATGCAAGGCGCGTTGTCGCTCTGTGAAAACTTAAGTGACAACGCTTATGTGACAACAATTGTGAGACTTCTTTGTGCAAAAGTATCGGTTGCTTGCGGGGAGTCTGTCTTCGGGCGATGCACATCCCGAATCTACTTGACGGCCCGGCCCAATTGGTGCGAGGTCCATCACTCACGCTTCGCTTGCGGTCAGCTTGTGGGGTGCCCTGTGCTCAAGACTCAAGACAGATGTTTCATGATCACTTTTTTGGGAGTGTTCGTGAGGTCGCCTCACAGCATCCTAACAGGTCCCAGCAGGTCGAGTCCTAGCAAGCTAGCAGCACGGCCACCTCCGGCACACGATACCAACCTAAGTTCTTCAAATGACCATCATGGAGGTACCGCCCGGATCTCAGTGCTCAGCAGAGGGGGAGGAGCTGGACAAGACTCCGTCCAGGAATACAAAAAAATTGGTTGAGGTGCACGGCCCAGGCGGCCAAGTGTGGGGCATGTGGGAAGCCCGACCCACACTTCCGATGCTCGGAATGCAAGGCCGGGCTGACCCTCAAAGTAGATCAAAGGATGAAACGTGTCAGACACTGAGCACAAGGGTCTATCAGTTTAACAAGGTCCTGGGGAAGAGATTGAATGGGTACGACCAAGTTGAAGCTCTCGAGCTGTCTCAGGTGGCACGCTATTGCGGACAAGCCTGCTTCCGCAGGGCCTGGCCGTCGCACAAGGCCCAAAAGCCACGGATTGGGTCTAAAGCCGAAAAAAGCTTGAAGTCGCAGACGTCTGGACAACTTGAGGCCACGTGTGGCTCACCTGCGCCTGGCATCAAGGCTGAGCCCGAAATCCTCAAGCCCCCAAACCCCTTGCAAAAATTCGTGTGCCCCTTAAGCCCCTACAACTCCTGTGCCAGGAGCCCGTCCTCCAGTGCGGAGGCTCCCAGAGCAGTCGGCCCTGGCCTTCGCCCGCACCTTACATCAGCATAACCTAGACATATGGGGTTTACGGAAATAGGGGACCTCTAAAATAACCCCTAATAGTAGGATTCCCTTATAATAATAAGGACCCCTACCCTTAATATCGAAAGCCCCCACATGTCATCGCCACACCCGAAAAGACGAGCATTCCCGACCTCCGAACTCACGCTCCGAACAGGCCCGGGAAGAGCTTTCGCACCAGCGGGCCACTGTCTCGGGGGGGGGGGTTTGTTCTGTATCGGTGTATGCCGGGTTCATCAATCAGGGTTCGTATCAGTAGGAGTTGTTATCAGCTGTCGCGGGTGGAGGGCTTGAGAGGGGCCTAAGCAGCAGTCAGCCCTCGCCTCATCTACCCTGAAGACCCAAGCTCAGTACTTGGTTACTCGTACCTCTCAGGCGCCTTGCCTTCCTGGACTTCTGGCCCGGTTTTGAGGACTGCGGAGACTGCGGAGACTGCAGTGTGGCTCTTTTGAGGCATGGTTATTCTTGGGAGCATCGATGAATAGATCATTGCTCTCAGCTCCTCCTGCTGCCATCATTACATTTCAACCTCCTCGCCAATCTTGGGATTTACGGGGGCTAGCAGCGAGACATGCTATATCAGCCCACTATCTGCCTGTTCTGGCAGTCGTGCCCGTGAGGAAGCCTGATTGCAACGATTGCAATGTGCTCATTTGCTAGTGGTTGCATATTCCTCGAGGACAACACGGATCGGTGGTTCTCCAAGGCCGATGCGGAGCGAGAGCTGGAATCACAACATTCAGCGACCTACTCTGCATGAGAGACTGCGCGTCAGGACTGGTTTAAGAGAAACCTGGAGGGCATCGAGCTTGTGGAGCCCCACGTCCCAGACTCGGGCTTTGTGCGGCCAGAGCTGCAACTCGAGCTTAAAAGCTGGTCTCGATGTCAGAGACTTGAGGAGTGTCCGGACGTTGTCATGTGTAGCCTGCGCGGCGCCTACGCTCTACGTGAATCTTCGTGAGTTGCAAACATAAAAAGCCTTCAGACATTGGTGCTTGAACCATGCTTGCAAATACTTGTGGTGACTGGAAGTCGGGACTTGGAGTTTCTTTGCAAGTTGGAAGAGCTTGCGGAGCCTTGTGTATGCTGAAGGCTCGGACTGAGACCTCGATAAAACCTTCTCATGCCAGTAGTCTTTTGTCACGAGGACGGCTTTGGAACTCAGGGGTTCGAAGTGTCAGTCGTGCATGTTGTACAGTATGGTCAACAGGCAACAAGCGTAAAGAACACACGCAAGAGTCTGCACACAGCAGCCTTGCTGACGGTGGCATGGTGGGATGTGGTGGGTGGCAGGGAGCATGTCGTCCAGCATCGCAGGACATCAGCCATGCCTTGTGCAAGAACTGCTTAGTCAGACGGTGGCTGAGGTTTGGGCGATCACATTTGCAATACCTGCATTATGGTTCCACGGCCAAGCTGGTATTCTTCACAGGTGGCCAGTTGGTCTGGTTCTGCCTTTCGCTTGCTTTGGGGTTCCAATTGT